GAACTCAAAACACCCGGGCTGTGTTGAGAAGTCAAAAGAATATTTTCTAAGGAAAAAAGATGGGCTTCAGGCTCAACAAAAAGTCATAACATCGTTATCAACTCAATCAAAAGTCACCTTGAAAGCTAGCTATATGGTTGCCGCTCATGTTGCTCGTAGTAAGAAAGCCTTTACTATCGCTAAGGAACTTATTTTGCCAAGTGCTGTGGATAGGTGTCGAGAGTTACTGGGTGACGCAGCTGCCACCAAAATTCAGTCAATACCACTTTCCGATGACACCGTGGCTAGACGAAATGTTGACATGAGCGATGACATTGAATGCCAACTCGTGGAACGAATAAAGGCAAGCCCTTATTTTGCCATACAACTGGACGAGTCGACGGACATAAGCAAAGTCACGTTACTGTTAGTTTTTGTCCGATACTGCACGGACAGTAATCTTTGTGAAGATCTGCTATTTTGCAAAGAACTTCCAACGAGAACAGCGGCAGATAATGTCATGCACTGCCTTGATGAGTACTTCACTGAAAAAGGTCTTGACTGGAAATACTGCTCAGGAATTTGCACAGACGACGCGGCTGCTATGACGGGAAAACATCACGGTGTTGTTAAATAAATCCAAGAGCAAGCGCCGGAAGCAAAGTGGAAAATCTTGCAACAAAGCAGATGTCACCAGAACTGCATGAGGTCATGAACATTTGCTGTGAAAACTGTTAACTATATTAAGAAAAATGCACTCAACTCAAGGTGTTTTGCAGCTATGTGTGAACGACTTGATGCTGATCATTTGCAGCTCTTGTACCACAGTAAAATACGGTGGCTTTCAAGAGGATGTGTGCTTAATCGTCTTTTTGAACTGAGAAAAGAAGTGCACACATTTCTGGAAGAGCAACGCTCCCCTCTTGCGGAGCATTACAATGATGATCAATTTTGTGCAAAACTGGCCTACTTATCTGATATATTTGATCAGTTAAATCAGCTGAATGTATCAATGCAAGGCAGAAACAGCACAGTGTTTTTGGTTTCAGACAAAATTGAGGGATTCAAGAAAAAACTCATTCTTTGGAATAGAAGAGTCAAGGAGGGACGATTTGACATGTTTCCACATCTGAGTGAAACATTGGAAGCCTCTTCTCATGTGAACATATCAAGTGTCATAACCCAGCACTTGTCTCAGCTGTCTCAAAAGTTTGCTGACTACTTCCCAGAGGACCCTCGACATGGAAACCTTTGGATTTTGGACCCATTCTCTGTGAATCCTGCTTCAGAAGACATGGCTCTGTCCACTGTGTTGGAAAATGAACTAATGGAACTATCAGCTGACAGTAGCCTAAAACTTCAACTCACACAAGTTGACCTTGCTTCATTTTGGTTACTGGCTGCAAGTGAATATCCCTCTCTGTCAAAGCGAGCAAACACATTTATATTGCCTTTCACCACCACATACTTATGTGAGTCAGGGTTCTCCACTGTGACTATCACAAAATCAAAAGCAAGGAGCAAACTGAAAGCTACTTTGGATGCTACTCTCCGTGTCAGTCTCTCACCAAGACTTGATCTTATTATCTCCAAGAAGCAAGCCCAAGTGTCTCACTGAGGGTATGCAGAATATGCATTTTGTAGCAAGGTTTGTCTCAGTATATATGGTTTTTCTCATGTGAACTACTCCAAAACCCGTTCATGTAAATATGTTAATGTGTTGGGATTTATTAACCAAAATTCAGTCAATACCACTTTCCGATGACACCGTGGCTAGACGAATTGTTGACATGAGCGATGACATTGAATGCCAACTCGTGGAACGAATAAAGGCAAGCCCTTATTTTGCCATACAGCTGGACGAGTCGACGGACATAAGCAACGCCGCGTTACTGTTAGTTTTTGTCCGATACTGCATGGACAGTAATCTTTGTGAAGATCTGCTATTTTGCAAAGAACTTCCAACGAGAACAGGGGCAGATAATGTCATGCACTGCCTTGATGAGTACTTCACTGAAAAAGGTCTTGATTGGAAATACTGCTCAGGTATTTGCACAGACGGCGCGGCTGCTATGACGGGAAAACATCGCGGTGTCGTTAAACAAATCCAAGAGCGAGCGCCAGCAGCAAAGTGGACGCACTGTTTCTTGCACAGGGAAAGTCTTGCAACAAAGCAGATGTCACCAGAACTGCATGAGGTCATGAACATTGCTGTGAAAACTGTTAACTATATTAAGAAAAATGCACTCAACTCAAGGTGTTTTGCAGCTCTGTGTGAACGACTTGATGCTGATCATTTGCAGCTCTTGTACCACAGTGAAATACGGTGGCTTTCAAGAGGATGTGTGCTTAATCGTCTTTTTGAACTGAGAAAAGAAGTGCACACATTTCTGGAAGAGCAACGCTCCCCTCTTGCTGAGCATTACACTGATGATCAATTTTGTGCAAAACTAACTGATATATTTGATCAGTTAAATCAGCTGAATGTATCAATGCAAGGCAGAAACAGCACAGTGTTTTTGGTTTCAGACAAAATTGAGGGATTCAAGAAAAAACTCATTCTTTAGAATAGAAGAGTCAAGGAGGGACGATTTGACATGTTTCCACATCTGAGTGAAACTTTGGAAGCCTCTTCTCATGTGAACATATTAAGTGTCATAACCCTGCACTTGTCTCAGTTGTCTCAAAAGTTTGCTGAATACTTCCCAGAGGACCCTCAACATGGAAACCTTTGGATTTTGGACCCATTCTCTGTGGATCCTGCTTCAGAAGGCATGGCTCTGTCCACTGTGTTGGAAAATGAACTAATGGAACTATCAGCTGACAGTAGCCTAATAATTCAACTCACACAAGTTGACCTTGCTTTCTTTTTGGTTACTGGCTGCAAGTGAATATCCCTCTCTGTCAAAGCGGCAATCCAATTTCTATTGCATTTCACCACCACATACTTATGTGAGTCAGGGTTCTCCACTGTGACTATCACAAAATCAAAAGTAAGGAGCAAGCTGAAAGCTACTTTGGATGCTACTCTCCATGTCAGTCTCTCACCCATTTAACCAAGACTTGATCTTATTATCTCCAAGAAGCAAGCCCAAGTGTCTCACTGAGGGTATGCAGAATATGCATTTTGTAGCAAGGCTTCTCAGTATATATGGTTTTTCTCATGTTAACTACTCCAAAACCCGTTCATGTAAATATGTTAATGTGTTGGGATTTATTAATGGTCCTAGAGTGGTTGTTGACGTGACACACCTGTTAGACTTCCTCATTTTTGGATGTGTGGGAAGGGGTATAAGTAACGTGATCAGTTTTTCTCCAGTTGAATTGTAAAAAAAATAATATAATACATGTAACATTTACGTAATGCTTCAAGTTTGTTTAATATGTAAGATTGTTTTAAACAGTCATGTTCATATCGCTAATAGGGATGCACCGAAATGAAAATTCTTGGCCGAAAGCGAACAAAATGAAACACTGGGCCAAAGGCCGAATACAGTTTTTCAAGTTTTTTTCCCCATGTATTTTGACAATTTTTTTCAACATTGCATAAATTAAATAGCCAAAATGTGCTTTTTACTGTTTTGTCTTGTTTTTCAAAGAAAAAAATCAATTACAAAACAACAATTTAAAAATATTTAACACTAAACATTTTTTACATTCTAGCAGACATTATACCAACAAAGCACAATTTAACTTAAAATTAATAAGTTACTAAAATAATATTTTTTGGCAATCAGAGCCCCTTCTTGAATCAGGCATGTATTTTTTATTGTAAAATTAAAAGCAGCCTTGCTGAGCAGAAGAGACTTCTTTTAAAACATTAGAAAATATTACAGATCCCAATTTGAACACTATCTGTGAATGTTATAATAAATGTATTAATAGAG